CAAGTTATTATTGTGTTTATCGTTTAACTTTAGAGAAATACACTATTTTAATTTTGTAGCGTTTAATATGCGTATATCAAGCCTAAAAAGTCAATAACGTCGATAATGGAGGAGAAATCATTTCACAAAACTTTCCAAGAGGTCGCTAATGAACATAAGAAGCAATATTACGTGATAGATTTCTGCCTGAGCAACATTATTTTTATTCTATATCGTTGTATTCGATATATTAAAATTAAAAATTTATTTAAACTACTAACAATTAATAATTAACAATTTTACTAAACACTTATACTTTACTCGGTATTTTATCACTTTAAAATGTCTTCTTTTACTACGCTAACTATTTAAGAAATTAAGAAGTGCTTAAGAAATTTTAATGAAGATAAACGTCTAAAAAATTAAACTTTAAATTGAAATAAGAATTTTTGCAACGAAATCTACACTAATCACTACATATACACGCGGTGTATAGAATACATCTATTGTGACAGGCGAAGTTCTGTAATACCTCACCTATACTATCATCTTAAGAGCCACCGTGTCATGTTTTCAAATATTAATAGTGAAAAAATCAGAAATTTTGATATGTCATTTACAGTTTAGAACGATGGATTTAGGAATTATATTAAATCCAACCATCAAAGTCGGTAAAGTCAGTAGATATAAGAAAAACCTCTTCCGTTTCATCATAAACAAAGATATATCGTCGCAGATGAGACACAGAATAGACATATCACGCCATGCACTTTTTGTCCCACATCACAAGGGCTCTGAAGCTCCCGTACCATTTTCGTGTCACTTCTAACGTTACCGATTCAGAATAGTTAATAGTATAATTAATAATATTAATTATTCACAAATAATTGTTTATTAGTTGCAAAAATGAGTTTCCCATTCATTTCTACTCAGGCAATCTAGTACAAATACATATTTAGTCGTGCTTACTACGAAGGATATCTTGTTCAGGCTATATAGCAACACATAAAATGAGTAAGACAAGGAAAGAAATAGGGTTAGGCAAGGATAACACCAGAGAAATGAGTTAGACAAGGAAAAGTATAGGGATAGACAAGGACAGCAAATTTTTTAAAAAAGGTGTAAGTAACGCCATCTCGTGTTTGGTGTCGCGAACTACGACTTTTTAATAGGAACACAGAATATAAACAGGGGTATTAGACAAGGAAAGCACTAGTGTGCGAGAAGGACAGAGAGAGAACGTTTCCTATTGGTCCGCTGGCCGCCATGCTCCACCTCCCACGGACTAAATTAAGTCGGTCAGGGAAAAATCATTAATAACTCATTAATTAGGACGATTTTGTGAACTTTTAAGATTGAAGAATGTAGTGTGAACCTTTAGCAACTTTCACATATAGTTTTTAACGCAATAGACCCTTTCAATAATTAGTTATTAACAATTCTAGAACGTCATGTCGGAACCGATACCGTTTACGTTTATATACGTTTACGGTTTTTCAATAATTTCATAACTTTCTACTAAATTCTCGTGCAATTAACTATATGCGTCTGAAAGGTAACTCCTTTGGCTACATTCTCATATAATTTTTATTAACACATTCGGTTTAGTTTAGGAGTTATTAACATTATATAGGAGTGTTCCCTATTTGTCGTACTCGTGGACAGTCAACTGTTATAAATAATTGTTAATATCTAATAAACTACACAACTTACGACTACCAAATTAATTGCAGAATGTAGATAAAAGTCCATTCTACATTCTGCATACTTGAAAGTGCATAATTAGTTTCGCATTTCTATTGAAATAACGAAAATATGTTATGCTTGAATGCGATGGGTGTAAACGGGTGTAATACTTTTACGGTTTTTCAATAATTTCATAGCTTTCTGCCAACGTTTCATAAAATTAACTGCATACGATTGCAATATCGAATATGATAATATTAACATATTCGATTTAATTTAAAAGTTATTAAACATTCTTTAGGTGTTAATAACGCGAGATGGCGTTAGTTTCGCTATTGACGTTTTCTTCCTTATCTCCCCCTATTTATTTCCTTATCTCCCATCACTAATGCTATCCTCGTCGTCCCTATTACATTTAATTGATACTTATATTCAATTTTTAATAGCTTTAACATTATTAATAGTGTCGATAGTAAAATAAAGGTTCTGGTTTATTTTCAAGTACTTTAATTATAAAATAATTATTATTTCCTGTCAAATAACAATTTAGATTGTTATTTATAATTATTGGAAGTCTTAAATAAAATTATTGTATGCTTTAACTTAACAAAACAGCTTAATATATTAATTTTACATTGAATTAATTCAGTGGATTAGTTAGAAATTGTTGATAACTTTTATTAAAAATAAAAAAAATTAATGTTCTTTTCGTATGAATTACAGATTGATCTTTCAGGACTCCATAGAAATCAAAAAAAGAACTTGAACATCGGGAAAAATGAAGAAATAAATTATTTACTGTAAAATAAATGTACAAAATGTTTTTTACAAAAGGTTACAATATACCAGTACTGTTTTACAGCATTTTACAGTCAATTTAATTCTCCCTTACACAGCACGTACATTTTCTTTTGCAAAAGACTCATTGTTTAAACAATATTCCATTGTAAAATTAAATAAACTAAATCTAGCAACTGTTAGGAATGTGTAAAATCGAAAGAATCGAAAAAATCTCGAATTTCCAGCGAAAAATTCGTAGAGGGCCCAACAAAACCTCTGATTTTTTACACGATCGGTACTTCAGAACGTTGAACACAAAAATACATTAAGTGTTCGGTCTACCTTGTGCGTTGTCTGTGCCTATACGCTATTTATAATTTCATAATTACATGTAGATCTAATTCCAACCACTACTATGTTGTAATCTTATTCTATGCTAAATCGATACATTGAAAGTAACATGAAATGGTAAGGGGGCTCGCGAGCTCCCATGATGTGGACAAAAAAATGCATTAGGTGATAGGTCTATTCTGTACTTCGTCTGTGGTATTAAATTTTGAAATATAACAAATATACGTACCCCTTTTATCTGAATTTAATACGATATTACTTTCCTGAAAATGAAATAATCTCTTTTAATAGCACGTTTTAGAGAGCTAAGAACATATCCTCGAATATATAAATATTTCAAATAACAAAAATTTGTATCACTAAGTTTCATATTGATCGACACTGCCATCTAGAAAATATAACCGAATGTAATCGAAGGTCGTACATAGAAGTGTTATTCCATCTGCAATTGAAGGACTCGATGAGATGTGACGTACAAATAGTAGTGTGCATTACGTACGTATTTATATAGTAAAAATGATACTGTGATGTAGTTACATTTTGGTGTCAGTTGCGCATCAGAAATCGTTGGAAGAAGATTTGATGTAACGACGTGTCTGACTTTTGTGGTGCCTATGTGATAATGTGAAGTATTTTCATACACAACTGAGAAAGGTACAAATTTCTTTTTCTTTACATTCTTATTTTTTTATTTAATTTCTTAAGTTACGCTTAATTGATACTTAAAATTTTTTAAAAGCAATATAATATCGATTACAATTGTAAATGACTTTAAATGATATTTAAATTTATGCGAAAGCACAGATCATAAAATAATACATTACGCCCATTATTCGCATAATCGATTGAACTCTCAACTTTTGCAATAAATCAGTTTTAAATGTGCAATCTATCGTTTCAACTCATCCGCGTAATGTAGCATATATCACCGCGTTTTATCAATATGTGATAACGTAAATTGATATACATTCTTATATTCTGTTAATTGTTGTTAGAAAATACATTTTTTTTCCCCCAATTGTAACAATATTTGAACAATTTACTTTATAAAACAGTAATAATACAAATTACGTAAGTCTTACTAATTTCTTTAATACATTTTTAAATATTAAATTTTATAATCCATTTATAGTTTTAAAAAGTTAGATGATAGTAATTATCAGTGCAATAATAAACTGAATTTTATTTATCAAGCAAGCTGTTTATACATTTGCTATAATAGAAAATAAAGACTAATTATTCTTGTTAAGAAAATGTAATTCATTTACAAAAAGACTATAAAAACTGATAATAAAATTCAAACAAACAATAAAATAGAATATACGTTTTTAATTGTAGAATATACATTGAATATTTAAAAGTTTATAAATTAATTAAAATAGCAATGTCTTTATATGCTGCTACTACATTTATATATAAATATAAATTTAAATAATATAGAAAAAAGTGAAACAATTGTTTTAATATTCACTTTGAAGGTTAAATTATAGAAATTTATACTGCTGTTGTTACTATTTACAGGTCTGTAAAACTTGAATCCTATTAAATATTAAATATCTGGAAATGAAATATGTATATTTTAAATACAGAACTTTATTTTTAAAGTTTGATTTATTGAACTATTTGTGTATAATATTGTAAAATATGTATCTAATCTAATTTCTAAATAAGTCTGACAAAATATAATTTTGTTATTAAGGATATGTTTTCTAAAATGTAATGTGATACTTAGATTCACAAACAACTAAATACATTAATGTGATAAATGTATTTACAAAACAATTTAAAGGTTAAATATTTTGTTTCTTCTTCCTTTACTTCCAAGTATATTTAATCTCTAGTTTGCACTAATCTATGTTTATATATTACAAACATTGATTATATAAGGTTCAGAAAACATCTATGCCAAGTTTTTTCTCATTATGCCTTCACACATTTAATAGAAGGAATAAATGCTGACATATCAATAAACAATTAAGTATCTAATAATAAGATATTAGATATAAGATTATTGTTGATATGTAAACACAAAATGTATAAAATATGATTTTAACTACATAATGATAATAAAGAAATTATTTAATTATTGTAAACACTATGATTAATTTTAACAATGTTATGTTGCACAAATGATTAAAGAATTAATTAATGCA